CCCTCTTTCTTCTCCTCCTCCTGCTCTTCCCCCCTCTTCTCCACCTTCTCCTTCTCCTCCTCTTTCTCCTCCTCCTCCTCCTTCTCCTGCTCCTCCTGCTGCTCCCCCTCCTCCTCCGCTTCCTCGCTCACCTCCTCCTGCTCCTGATCCTCCCCCTCCTCCCCCTCCTTCTACTCCTCCGCTTCCTTCTCCTCCTCCACTTCCGCCAGCTCCAGAGTCACCGCCATTCCCAACACCATCAGCACCACCACCTGCGAAATTGCCACTGATGCCTCCTGTGCCTGTTTCGGAGCCGCCTCCCCCATCTCCTCCGCTGCCACTGCTCCCACCACTTCCGTCAACACACGTACAATCTTCACTTCCTGTAGCCTCACCTTCGCCACCGACAAGCCCTTTGCTGGTCCGTTCGGCGGCAGCCTCGTGTCCAACTCCACCAGCGGTTTCATGACTTCGACCCATCACTCCGTCCCTGTTAGGGTGTTGGCACTTATTCCTGCTATGGCTTCCTTTTTGACAGGTCTCAGTCCAGGGGCCTAGGTTACCAGAGTCCTCACGAACCTCTGGCTTAGTGACGGCCCGATCAAAGTCGGTACGGGCCGAATGGACCCGATCGCAGGGTAGCAACGGTTCTAACGGTGCAACGGAGGCTGTCGACCATTCGTCTATTTTGGACGGAATCTGCCTGCCATTCGGACCTCGTGTAAACTTTCCAGACCGGAATCGAAGTACAAAGGAGGCTGGAGAAGAACGAATCGTCAAGACCGACTCACCTCTTACACGATCTCGATGACCGAGGCTGTTTGTTGTGCTGGCAGAAGGTTCGCTTTCAGTGATGAGCTGCTTTTCAGGCAGACGATGGTGGCGGTGGCGGTGACTTTGGTGTTGTTGTTGCTGGTGGTGATGCCGGGAGACCGCAACTCGTCGGTTCACAGAGTAAAAAAGTCGCATCGGAAGTGATGATATACTGATGGAACCGGTTGCTTTGGGGTTTTTGTCGCCAGCATTCTTCTCATCAAGCCTGTCTGAGCGCTCTAGACCCATATCTAAGCTTGGTGTATACGTCAAAATCCCATTTAGGTTGCGTCCCGGTTGGTTCTTGCCCGAATTGCTGCAGGGCTGGTTCGAGAAAGCATCCATTGGACCAAGGCTTACTGCAGAGGACTTGGCCAGTCTGTGCGAATCGGAGCCGTAGATAAGCTGATGTTGCTGTTGTTGTTGCTGCGGCTGCTGATGATGGTGGTGGTGGTGATGATGATGATGATGATGATGCCGGTGTTGGTGTTGGTGTGCGTGAAATGGAAGAAGACTGCTCGATAGCCTTGGCAGGCTTGTATTACTTCCAGAATCCTGAAGAGAAGCGGAGAACAGATGATTGACCAATTTGGCGGCCGCCTTCGAAGGCGGAGGTGAATAGCTGGTTGGTAGACCCGACATGCTCTGCGGACATGGCAGGTAGCCGAGCATTGCAGCAGAAGCACAGAAGGCCAGTGAGATGGGACCTCCCAGACAGGCCAATTGTCGTGTGGTAGCCGGGGCCATCTGGTCTCCTGGTGGTGGTACATGAGGTGTTCTAGACGACGGGGACACGGTCAGATGGCAGACCTGACATGGCCCATGAACGGAGTCGGGAGGTTGCGTAGAGCCAAGGCAAGCGTGAATAAATCCGCTCCCCTCGTTATGACCACTGCAATAATTGCATTTATGGTGAACATGAAAGTCAGAACAACTTGATAACCCATTAAAAAAAGGGTTTCGAAGAGTCCTATGATGATATTACATAATATGATTAATTTGAAAAGAGAAGTTGGTTACAAGGGATTTATGGATTGCCTCCAAGTGAAGTAGTCAGTCCGTTACTCTGTGACAAACATCTTCAGACCGAAAAGTCATACCTTACGCAAAACCTTACCATCATACTAAAGTGAATCTCGCCATTCGTAGCACCATATTACAACTCGTCAAAGAGACAAGTGAAGCCTATCCTTTGAACAAACGTGTGCTAAACAGTTGTGGTATCTCCCCTTCTGCCCTAAGCTATTCACATCTCCTATATCCTCCTATCATGCCTTCCCTGTCACAATTTTTACCGTGCATATATTTAATGTAGTGTGGTGTGCTCCTTCGAG